TGCCATATTATAGTTAGTATTATCCAACAACTTATTACTTAGATATCATCCTCTAAGAGCCTAGCCCCCAAAAATAGTCTGACTAACTTTAAGCTGCACTGTCACCACCTTATCGACTATCTTGTGTGGCGTCCTGAGTGGTGGTGATGCATGGTGAGAATTTTCCGAATAATATCACATGAATAAATGTAATAGTGTAACGTTTCTTTCAGGGGGGTCAAGTTCTATATTTAAGAACATTACTAGTTGATGGATTACCATTATGTATTTGTGTTAAAAACCTTTGATACTTTGTACTGGCATATATTGAAAATAGTTCACAGCTGATGGGATTCTTAGGGCCCTTCTTAATGTATTTGTTGTTTTCTGTATTTGCTCAATAAAGCTAGCAAAAGTATTTATTCCTCATGTTGTCGTTATTAAATTGGACTTGGATGAACGCACGCACTAACTCACGCATGCCATGATGAGCAACAGCCACAACAGCCCTGAACATGAACGGAAAAGAAAAATAAAGTCGATACAAGAGTTTGAGTTTGTGGAAAGGAAGTCACTGCCTACCTTTGTCGAGACCAGACTCGGAGGAATGGGACACACTTTTGCAGCGTGTTAACTATCGTAGCTCACGTGTACCATTTTAAAATGTTTCTCTGTGCTCTCCAAATTCCCATTGTTTGCCATTGCCCTCGGTGAATTGTACATGAAACAAACTCTGAATGAGAATAACAATAACAATAAACAATAACATAGATGGCAATTTTCTGCATATCCGCGGAAATCCGCCGTTTTATTTCTTAAATTGATCATTTTTGTGAATCGTCTAAATCCGTTGAGAAAATTTTAGGGGCGGTCAGGTACCTTACCTTATCGTCGAGTTTTCACGAGCTCTCCTGAACAGTCTCTCCGTTTTCCGTTTGTAAACAGCCCTGCGATTGGACGTGTATGAAAGCTTCAACTAATCAGATCGCTGAAGGCATTATTTGTTGCGGAAGTCTTAGCTCGATTATATACGGCCCAGCGATTGGTTAACTACAAGCGATTGGACCAATCAAACTGCATGTAACATATTGTTTTACCTGATTCATGGCGGCCTGTTCGTCTCGCAAATTCATTGTTCTGGGATCGTTTTGAGCGGAATTACGAAATTTTTGACGAAAGATCAGGAGTCTTCAATCCTAGAAATTGACTCAAATGTCAAGAATAAATTCCGATGGGACTGGCTTGACAGAAAAGTCACTGTAAAGGTTAAAATTGGTTCCAAGTTCGACGAAGTTACAGAAGCTCTTGGACAAT